TTACTCGCATCGTTTATCTGTTAAACTCAGGTATTACTCGCATCGTTTATCTGTTAAACTCCGGTATTACTCGCACACGCAACAGGTAGAAAGAATCGTTTATCTGTTAAACTCAGGTATTACTCGCATCGTTTATCTGTTAAACTCAGGTATTACTCGCATCGTTTATCTGTTAAACTCCGGTATTACTCGCACACGCAACAGGTAGAAAGAATCGTTTATCTGTTAAACTCAGGTATTACTCGCACATGCACACAACAGGTAGAGTAAATCATTTATCTGTTAAACTCAGGTATTACTCGCACACGCAACAGGTAGAGTAAATCATTTATCTGTTAAACTCAGATATTACTCGCACACGCAACATGTAGAATGAATCATTTATCTGCTAAACTCAGGTATTACTCGCACACGCAACATGTAGAATGAATAATTTATCTGCTAAACTCAGGGTATGTTCCCAGTCAGGGCGATGTTCCCGCCGTCATTAGGCAACATATGCGCCGCGCATGCGCAGTGCTTACCTGGTAGTAAGGATCAGGTCCCTTCTGCGATCCTTGCTGCGTTAACATGCCGGCGATGGAGGCTGCGTTGTAGCGCATGCCCTGTCCGGGGGGTCCTGGAGGTCCGGGGGGTCCTGCAGGACCCTCGTCTCCGGCCTTGCCATCGTCTCCCTGCAGGCCCCGCTGACCCTAGCGGACGAAAGGTGAACGCGAAAACATTAATTTTTAAGTTTCTAAAAAATAAGTTACGCGAAATTTAACCCAAGAAAAATCTAAAGGTATTTTTAACCTTGTTGACTTATATATATATTATATATATAGTTGGTTAGCCTATACACACACACACACACACACACACACACACACACACACACACATACACGATTTTTGCTACCTAATGTTGTGACGTGACTTGTTTAAAGCTGGGTTAACACTATCAACTTTCTGGTTGTTGAAAAGTTGACGAGTTGATCAACTAATCTAATCGACCAAAAGTCGACAGTGTAAACGTAAACGTTGAACGCTCAACTAGATAATATCAACTAGTTAAGAGATTAGAACATGTTCTATCTTCTCAACTTTTGGTCAACGAATTGAAAAACTTTTTGCCATGCGTCCACTCAGATAATAGCAATCAGGAGGTGTGTCCTTCCACCCTGGAGGGAAATTATTAATGCGTTTTTGGCGCCCCCCCCCCTTTCATCAAACCCTGGAACCACACCCTACTTTAAACAAATATGCGATGTACCCGATTAGCTATTCGCAAATAAATGTATCAAATGTCTGTTATAATGTACAAAATGAATTTAAATCTAGCTGTTTATATATTACTCTTGCCTATATCTGTCGTGCTCAAAGTTCTGTGTAAATTAGTGTATATATTTTTTCCGTGTACAATTCTTTAAATATCAGTTCATTATACAACAGGTTCTTAACCGAACGCAACGCGACACCTATATAAAATTATATTTATATATAATTATGCATTTATAATTATACAGATAATGCTCCAATTAACGTGTGTTGTGTGCCAATGAATGAGGGCGAAATGTTGTCTTGCAACAGTATATATAGTTGTTAAAACGAAGGGTGACGCATGCACAGCAAGTTCGCACAGCAATTCAGCTTACATATCCGGTCCGTGTCCGCAAACAGATCCGGTCACGTGGTATTTGGGCTTCTTCGTTGGCCTGTCCGTGTACTAGTTCTTTTGATTGCGCATGTGCAACAAATTTAGGACGCACTCAAAATTTCCCGTACCGAGTGAGCACTTTTCGTAAAAGGTAAGCTATTCAATATAACTCAACGCACTTAATTAAGATCATTAATTGTATAATTAATGTACAGATAACATGCACTGACAATTACAAAGACGATGCGGCAGTGAGAATCGTCTGGTCGTCTAGTTAAGCTACTCCTATATATATATATATATATATATATATATATATATATATATATATATATATAATATGACACTCCTGCTATTATCACTAATACTCATGATGTGTCTCGTTACGGAAATTAACATCCAACCCTTTACCTACGTTTCAGTACCGACAGGACCGGTGGGCGGAAACAGTGATAGAGTACCGGACGGATAAGCCAAAGAGGTTACCAGTGATAGATATCGCTCCATTTGATATAGGCGCATCGAACCAGGAATTCGGCATGACAATAGGAGATGTATGCTACTCATAGCGGTGCCACGCGCATGCGCGATCTACCTGTGTATAGAAGCGTTGCACAAATGCCTGCGTATGATCATAATACTTTTTTAAACTTTAGAACGAGTTGAATTTGTACATTGCAACGACATTTACTGTATAAGTATTCAGCAATGCCTTTCGCAGACGTCTATATGCAACAGTATTTTTGATGATGGCTGTTTTTAGCGCTCATTTTAAATCGCATATCACCGGGGACTGTCGTGGAATGTGTAGTGCTGAATAGTCAAACCATAGCGTACAACGAAATTTCGCTTGTCGAGTATATCTCATTATTTTGCTAGAAAAGCGAGTGTAACGCGGCATTATTACCTTTGCCTTTGCCTTTGCGAATCAGCGCCGATTGTTGTAACGTAACCATGGCAATTATAACATTGATGTGGAGCGACCGATTACGACGAAAAAAAACTATAGAACATTTTTTTAAACTCTTTATCGTTTTTATCACGATGACGATTCTTTTAGGCTGAACGAAACCCGGGACCACTACCGATTTTTTTTTTACCTCGATATTTGCATTTAAGTCACTTTGCATTTAATTTGCACAGAAGCTTTCAGCTGCAAGATAGCAAAGCTTGCCTGCTGATGGCCCTCTACGGATCACAGGCACACACTAGCCATACAGTAAGCGCAGTAGTTCGCGAAGTAGATAATAAAATGCGTTGTTAGGTCAGCATGCAGACAGCATATACCGTGTCAAACAACATTAGTTGTTTGGTGATCTTCCCCCATTCTCCCATCACATTGGTGTGGCGTTCCAAACTTACTAGTGCATGTTGGTTAGTCACGTATGTGTATCACTGCCAAATAGATATACATTTTTATATTGAAACAGTGTGAACAATTTTTGCTATGTATTTTTTACAATAAAAGCAAGTGTGTTATACTGTAAGTGAGTCCAAAACATTTTTCGGGGGCCTACTTTCCATTTTCCAGGGCTCTTTTTCACTTTCCAGGGCGACTTTTTTCGCAGGCTGTTTCCTCAAATGTACACACAAGCACAGTAGCTAATACACACTCGTGGGCGCGCACACACCACACACACGTCACACGGCACGCACACACGCACGCACGGCACGCACACACACACACACAGACACAACACGTCAATATTCAAGACAGTTTATTCATCAGACTGACAGACTAACATGATAATCACAACTCACAAGTCACAACCACAAATGCACCTTGAATAGTGAATACATCAAGGTTCAGCTAACACACAGAACTATTACGGCTAGCCAAATAGTGGAATGTCCGCCTGTACGAGCCTAGGAGGATCGATTGTTTATATCGCGAAGTCCTCTGCGGCTGGGTCCAAGGCCCGCGTAAGGGCCCGGGAAGCTCAGGGGGGTGAGAAAGCGGCCCGCGAGCCACGTGTGAATGGGCTGTGCACATCGACGCTGCGCGTACGTGCCTGCTTGGCAGGGCGCGCATTGATTGAAGTATGGGGGGGCACGATTGTTCAGCGTGGTACTAATCAGCTACTAAAATTTAAGGGTTGGCATTGCTGGACTATGAGAGAGCGGCGCAGCAAACTCTTTGGGAATTGACAAAAAAAGCTACAATCGGGAATGACACACGAGTGTGCCGGCAGGGAAAAAATATATGTGTGAATTTCATTAGGATTTCCATGGGATTACGTTCTATAATCCTAGGTCGTTGGTCCTACGGTCTACGTAGGCACGCCCGCAGCACCCCGCCACGCACGCATGCAGGCACGCACGCATTGCAGGCACGCACCCTGCAGGAACGCCACGCGCCGCGAGGCACGCAGCAGCGCACGCGCGCAGCGCACACACGCAAGCACGCCCTGCAGGCACACCCAGCACGCCGCACGCACGCGCGCCGGCACGCACGCCGCGCAGGCACGCACGCGCGCAGGCACGCAGCAGCGCAGCAGGCACACACGCAAGCACGCCTGCAGGCACACCGGCACGCACGCACGCGCGCAGGCACACACGCAAGCAGCGCGCACAGGCACACACGTATATATACGCGCGGCGGCGGCGCGCGCGTTGATTGAATGCAATACACACATGCATGCTTAAAGATAAACACATTAGAATTCTACGGCGCGTGGAACCCGGCTGCTGCTAGCGGCAGAGGCCGAGCGAGATCGGCAAGGCGCGGGACCGACCTGGACAATCGATTTTCAGGCGACTTTTGCTTTTGGGGTCGCCCCCGATATCGTATTTTCGAGGCTCTTTTGGCATTTCGGGCGAAATCGCCCGCCGCCCCGTGTATTTTTTACCCTGCTACTACCTCCTACTTACCTACCTACCTACCTACCTACCTACCTACCTACCTACCTACCTACTTACCTACCTACTACCTACCTACCTACCTACCTACCTACACTACCTACCTACCTACCTACCTACCTACCTACTACCTACCTACCTACTACCTACCTACCTACCTATCCTACCTACCTACCTACCTACGCTACCTACCTACCTACCTACCTACGTACCTACTCTACCTACGTGCCTGCCATGCCTGCCTGGCCTGCCTGCCTGCCTGCCTGCCTGCCTGCCTGCCTGCCTGCTCGCCTGCCTGCCTGCCTGCCTGCCTGCCTGCCTGCCTGCAGCCTGCCTGCCTGCCTGCCTGCCTGCCTGCCGTGCCTGCCTGCCTGCCTGCCAGCCTGCCTGCCTGCCTGCCTGCCGGCCTGCCGGCCGCCTGCCTGCCTGCCTGCCTGCCGGCCTGCCTGCCTGCCTGCCTGCCTGCCTGCCTACTTACTACCTACCTATACCTACTACTTTACCTACTGCCAATCTCCTTTCGTTAGAAGTGGAGCAAGCGAATGTTCGTAGCTTGGTGCAAAGTAATAACCCGAACTGACGGTGAGTGTACACGTCATCGTGCAAGGGGTTATATTAGCGATATTTTATCATATATTTACGATCCATCGTTGTGGTTGATACAATTAAGTGTAAGGGTCACAAGGTGTCACAAGAAGGTGTCACAACATGCTCGTAAAGCAGTTTATATTTCATCATATTATTTACGATTACGAAGAATTCCCCTCTAAGCTAATAGCGAACCCATCTTTATTGCTGAGGAATTCCCCACTCGTTACGATGTTCAGGCTGACACACTTGTGTCGGCAACACACAACTACACACAACGCAGGGGCGTAGATAGCGGGGGGATGGGGGATGCTTCCCCCCCCACTTATTGACGTGGGGGGATGGCGTGTACAATCATCCCCCCCTACTTTCAGGAGGAAATGGGAGTTCAAAATTTTCTGGGGGAGGACCCGCATACCCCCGCCTGTTTCTTACAACCCTCCTCGAAAACTGCATTGGCCACTGTCGAGCGTACACAATTGGGTCAAATTGAGCACCCACTTCAAAAATCGTTCCGCGGCGCCTGTAGAGTACTGCTAACAAAGTTATGATTATGAAATTTGTATGCATATCAAAAGTCAAATTTGAGTTCATCTGACAGGGGCGTAGATGGCGGGGGATGGGGTATATCCCCCACACTATTGAGTGGGTGGCTTAGATCCCCCTACTTTCAGAAGAAAATGGGAAAAAAATAATATTTTACAGACAATATAATACTGGATATTTATCTTCAAATCCGTCATCGCTATTCATACTCTCCTAATGTATTAATTACAGAAATAGAACGTGACATACATCTACTGTAAAATGGCTGTAACTCGTTCCAAGAATGACATTATTTAACTGAAACTCAGACGGTTAATTTTGCATATACGATTTTTTTCAAAGTCCCCAAAGTCTTATCACTGCTCACGAAAGTTAAATCCTTGCTTATTCAAAATTAAAATAACCTATTGAGAGTTGGGATATTGAATTTCACGGGATTGAATGGAATAATTCAATTATCTCACTTTTTGGGGGGATGGGGGTGCTGAGACCCGACCGGAAGTAAACCCGATTTTTGTATAAGGGGTGAAAAATATGCACTTTTTGGTTCAAATCTGGTTTGTTTTCTCATATTTTTTTGCAGTTTTAACGTTCTCAGTAAAATATACGTTTTATCAAAATTTCAAGAGAGATGATTCCAGTGCTGTTGTTGTCAACGGGGGGTCGGTAGCACGGGGCGGTCACCCCCCCCTAGAATTTTCAGGGCGAAAGTATTTAGCCTAGGTAAGTCTGCACTGGTAACCCAGTGAGGACATGTACATAGGCACAGATTTGGTATAAGTATTCAGGGCCGTAGTGGCCGCCACGGCAGCAACGGCACTGCGTGGCCACTATTTTGA